CCCCTTCTTTCAGGGTGGGAAAAAATGATTTCCAAACATTAACTAGTCTGTAAAGATAAGAAATTCTGAATTGGTATCATTTTGTATTAATTACCTATTAAAGAGTCAACACAAATGTCTTAATAATGTTTTTTTTGTATGTTTTTTTTTTGTTTTTGCTTTTTTTTCTAATATTAGAACGATTTCACATAACGATACAAAAAATGCAAATAAGTTTATTTTATGCAAATTAATTGACTGTAATATGAATTCATGTAATCATGTAATACAGACTCTATTCTCTCACTGCAGCTTTTTTGCTACTTTATATAATTACATCAAAACAAAACACAAAGATTTCATTTTCCAAGCAGACTTGACATGCTTCAGCCTTTGTGCYAAGCTTTGCTACAATTTCATAGCACATGCAGAACTGTACCATGCAGCATCAAGTACAAGCTTAGYTTCAAATATTTTYGAAAAGCTTGACACTTCTTTCGGACAAAAATACCACAAGATCAATGGCAGGAGGGAATAACCACCTTGGATATCTCTTGGCTGTCAACTAATTTTTGAGAAAGCCGAGCAAAGGCTGGCCAGCAAAAACTCAAGTCCGTAATTCTATTTGGGCTCAAAAAAGACTGTTTTGTTTTGCTCATGATGAATGACAATAAAATCCAATTACAAGATAGGAAACAATCCTGTAATAAGTGAGAAAACAAAGCGTGTATTGCATCATTACATGAGTTTATTTTACAGTCAATAAAATTTGCATAAGATAAACCTATTTGCATTTTTTGTATCGCTATGTGAAATCGTTCTAATGGAGCACACTAAACCATTTTATTAANTTCAAATATTTTCGAAAAGCTTGACACTTCTTTCGGACAAAAATACCACAAGATCAATGGCAGGAGGGAATAACCACCTTGGATATCTCTTGGCTGTCAACTAATTTTTGAGAAAGCCGAGCAAAGGCTGGCCAGCAAAAACTCAAGTCCGTAATTCTATTTGGGCTCAAAAAAGACTGTTTTGTTTTGCTCATGATGAATGACAATAAAATCCAATTACAAGATAGGAAACAATCCTGTAATAAGTGAGAAAACAAAGCGTGTATTGCATCATTACATGAGTTTATTTTACAGTCAATAAAATTTGCATAAGATAAACCTATTTGCATTTTTTGTATCGCTATGTGAAATCGTTCTATTAGGTGAATGGCCAGTGAAACCTCCAGAAGAAAATCCAAAGACTTTCTTTGAGTCAGGATTTAAGACTAATGGCTCTACACTGGAAATCCTTAACATACAGTGAAACTTCCAAAAGCACATTGTTCAAAGACTTCCTTTAGGTTAGGACTTAAGACTATTGGCTCTAAACTGGAGATCCTTACCTTGCCACCAGGGAAGGAGTTTCTATACAGACAWGATACAATCATGCCACTTGGCATCTCATCGTTTTCATCGTCAAACTTTGGCGCATGACAGACGTCAGCTGCATCTTTTTTACAAGCTTGGTACAGCTCTTGGTCAAGTCTACACAATAAATCAAATAAGACATTAAACCCTCTGACTAAATAATACTGTCACTAGCAGATGCATCAAAAGGTGAAAAATAGACGGGTAAATGACTGGACAGATATATGAATGAAAGATCAAATGAATGAAGAAATGACTGAATGAAAAGGAAGATGAAGGTATAAATGGTTGACTGAATGAATGAAACAATGGATGAAAGGACGGATAGATAAATGAAGATGGATTGAGGAAGTAGGAAAACCTGTAATGAAACTCTTGAATTTGTTTTAGAAATATAACATGAAGGGTTACACATCACCTACCTGAAGTCCCTAGCAACAAAGAACTGTAAATGCAGAAGTTGTTCTCTGCACTCTGGGACCATGGATTCAGAGTTCAAGTGATCCATCAGACAAGTAAGAATCCTGCACAACAACAAAAAATGAATAACTAGAATAACAGCAAAAAACAACAGGGCCTCAGTAGCAATAGAAGCAGCAACAAGAACAGCAACAACAAGAACAGCAACAACAACAACAACAGCAACAGAAACAACAACAACAACAACAGCAACTACAACAACAAGAACAGAAACAACAACAACAACAAGAACAGAAACAACAACAACAGCAACAAGAACAGGAACAACAACAACAACAACAACAGCAGCAACAACAACAGCAACAAGAACAGGAACAACAACAACAGCATAAACAGCAGCAACAACAACAACAACAGCAACAAGAACAGGAACAACAACAACAACAACAAGAACAACAACAGCAGCACCAACAAGAACAGAAACAACAACAGCAACAACAAGAACAAAAAATCAATAACTAGAATAACAGCAAAAAACAACAGGGCCTCAACAAGGGGCCATTTCATTGCGCATGTACGATGCGCTTGAGCTACCTTGGTCACAGCACTGTTTCGCAGCTCGTTCTCGGTCGAGATGTTTACATAATTTACGTTCAGGAAAATTTGCTTTTTCATTCTTCAACAACTAATTGATTAGGTTCAAACGTCAAATCTAGTATCGAATATATGTGTTTAAAGTCTTATTCAAGTTAAATTTCTGGAGTATATCTGGTTAAAATATGGTTAAAAATCATACAGGGTGACTGACTCGGAGAAGATAAAATGGCGACTGAAATGTGGTCAAAACCATACTTTGTCGTTGGTTTATCTTGGGAAACAAGACGGTCTGGTGCCTGTTCTTATAGCCATGTAAATTGGATGCTATTTGTACTTTATGACAACATTTTGTTTTGAAATCGTTTGCAATTAAAGCAGCAAGATTCACACAGCCTTTACGCGATAATTGTTAAATTCGCGCTTTTTGACATTTTTCATCAGTGAAACATTATTAAATCTAGTGAACCAAGCAGAAATGATTATAATCGTATGTATTGATACTGTTTTAAGAATGATCATTAATTCAAAAATTGGCGAAGATKGATATTTTGGCTTTTCAAGATTGTAAGCATTGTTTACATGGTCATTATGTTTTGGTCAAAACTCGTAAATTTTGAAATATTCGAGCATGAAATCAGATGTAGTTACATGTTATACCCATTACAAAAGGCCATACATAATATATCAGCGATCGGACAATTGTTTTACTATTTAGGAAGAATCATATCCATGATAAATATGCTAATGTGGTTACTATCATTAATAATTATATATCTGACTTGTGCGAGAAAATACCACACTTATTTCATTTGATTTGATGTCCTTTGTTTCTTTGCTTATGATATATCAAATTTGAATTTCTTAAAAAATTGGCTAAGGTTGGTAAATTTGCAATATTCTACCATATGATGCTCTGTTTTGCCTGTCATAAATATGAAATAAAACTCATATCCACTTGTTAAAGCTTGTTTTTAGCTACAGACAGGGGCTAATTCAGCTGGTGGGCACAGGGAGTTTGCAATAAACCCCTCACCCCCTCGAGATCAGTTTAGTATGCTTCCTTTTATTTGTGTCTCCTTTGTCATGGTTTCTTGGAGAGCTCCCTGGCTGAGTGCCCTGCACCCCTCCCTGGAAATAATGTAATCTTCACACAGTGCTTTATTGCATGTAACATTGAGTACAACAAATCTGCAACATTTCTTTTGATTTCATGTATTGTCATCTTATCTTGTAAAACAGGTGGGGAAGTGGCCCGGGGGAAGGGGGCAATAGCTTCCCTATATATTGCTCAGAAAACAATTTTGAAATAGTATTAACGTTTTTTTGATGGAATCCGCTAATTTTTCAAATGCTATCCGAACTCGACTGCTACTCAGTCCCTGGTTATTATACTTTATGTTTTATCAAGCGCCACAAATACGCGCGTCTGCCCCTAGACGTTTGATTGTTACAAACTAGGTCTTTTAGCTATGTTATTGCAGATCGATAATTTCTTTT